TATAAGTTATATATATAAATATATATATATATATAATATATATTATATATAAATATATTATATATATTATATATAATATATATATATACATATATATATATATAAATAAATATATATATAAAATATATATAAATAAATATATATATACAATTATATATATATATATACATATATATATACATATATATATATACATATATATATATATACATATACGTATATATATACATATATTATATACATATATATAAATACATATGCACATACATATTTACATACATATATACATACATATATACATACATATATACATACATATCTACATACATATATACATACATACAAACATACATATATACATACATATATACATACGTATATACATATGTATATACGTATATATATATATATATACACGAATATACATACACATATATATACACGTATATAGATATATACGTATATATATATATACACTCATATCTATGCGTATATATGCGTATATATATACGTATATATATACATATATATACGTATATAAATATTTATACATATATATATATACATATATATATACATATATATATATAAGCATAGATATAAGTGTATATATACATATATATCTATATACATGTATATATATACATGTATATATATATATACACGTGTATATATATATATAAACACATGTATATATATATATATATACGTGTATATATATATATATAAATAAATATATATATATATACACGTGTATATATATATATATACACTTGTATATATATATACGTGAATATATATATATATATATATATATATATATATGTATATATATACATATATATATATAAATATACACATATATATGTATATATATATATATATATATATATACCAGACATGCCTACCCCTGGCAACCAAAAGTAGGAACAGTCAAACAGAAAAAGAGGAATTTGAAGCCAAAAAGAGGAACATAATTTTTTTAATCCACGGTTGCTTAACCAATAATAATCTTAAATTAACTATGGGCTTACTATGGCTGTCCCTTTCGATCTCCCACACTGAAATTGTTTAGCAAATTTATCTTCTTTGAACATCAGTTTAAAAGCTTTAGAAAATTTATCTAATGAAGCAAGTGGCAAATTCATTTCAGTAACTAGATCAAATAGCATAACTTCAGCTTTTATAACATCATTGATCAATTTTTTTAGGCTTAGTCAAAGTAAAAAACAATTCAACTTTTTTTTATTCTTTGACTAGCTTAGCTAGCTCCACGTGTTTTGCACTTGCAATGTCGTTTATTTTAAACTCACAATTACAAATCTCATAATGAGCATTTGTTTCACAATTCTTTCCTTTTTTGACAAAAGGAAATTCTTCCGAATATTCCGTTCTGAAGCACTGAACACGTTTTGACGTTGAAGGGGATTCCCCGATCTCAGATACTGAACGTTTCAGCATTTTTCAACAAGGAAACGGAAGTAAACAGGGAACTCCGTTCACTTCCGTTTCCTAGTTTTCTGGGGGGAAATTCGCATTTTTGCTGATAATTTTCTTTTTCCTTTTTTTTTTAAATAACTTTTTTGATTATTTTCGAAAAGAATTCGGAACAAAACGAGTCCAAGTCGGAACGACAGAACAAATTACTTTTGAGGGTAAAAAAAGCAGAACGGTTCCGCTTTTGGCGGGACGGTAGGCTTGTCTGATATACATATATCTATACGAATACATATACCTATACACATATATCTATATGAATACATAAATTTATATGAATACATATATCTATACGAATACATATATCTATACAAATACATATATATCTATACACACATATATATCTATACACACATATATACACACACATATCTACACCCATATATATATGCATATATATATAAACACATACATACACATATATATATACATATATATACATATATATTTACATATATATATACATATATATTTACATATATATATACATGTAGGTATACATATATAAATATATATATGTATAAGTATATATAGGCATTATACTATTTACAGGCTATATATATATACATATATATATACATATATGTACATATATATATACATATTTATATACATATATATATACATATATATATAAATATATATATGTATAAGTATATATAGGCATTATTATATAGGCTATATGGGGCAACTATGTTTTTTTTTTTTACACTAATGGGTCCTCGTGCGGCGTCAAAGCGGTCATTGACAAAACGGCCCCGTCAAAACGACTCCGGCAAATTGGCCCCGTCAAAAGGGCCAGCGACACAAGGACCCCGTCATATAGGCTCCCGTCATTTAGGCTACCGTTATATAGGCTCCTAACAAATAGGCCCTCGTCATTACGACTCCCGACAAATAGGCTAGCGTCATTTTGGCTCACGACAAAAAGGCTCCTGTCAATTTGGCTCCAGACAAAAGGACTACTGACAATAAAGTTTCTGTAGAGACTAAGTCTCCCGGCAAAGCAGTCTCATTGAATATGACAAATGCCAGTGGGACCCCTTTAAATGTTCTTTAGAGTTAGCTTATCTAACACTTTTATGTAACACAACGTATGCATCTCTTGTTCGGCAGGCCTTATTTTTATATTAGTTTATCTATTATAAAATATAGTATGTTTTAATAAGGGTCATCTATCTATGACATCCATAATTGAGTCGGTTATAAGCTGTTCCAACTCAGTGTGTAGGGATAAGGGTCCACGCTGTACCTTCCTACCTCCAGTATGCTTGTAGGTTATCAAAACAAAATGCTGTTATCATGTAAACATCATTCATATCATACATTTACACTTCTGTGCTCGCTTTTAAGCAACAGATCTTTTCTGTTGTAAATTAAACATTATCAAAACTTTAGAATTGGTGAAATTTAGCTGTTAAGGGCTCGCTTTGTTGGTTCATTCAGGCATTTAAAAGAGTTTATAGTGGTATTAGAGGTAAGACAAAATTGTTACTTTTATGCTAATAGTGGTCATGCAATTCATTGGTCTGGAGCCAATATGTCGAGAGTCATTTAATCAAAAGCCAATATTTTGGGAGCCCAATTGCCGGGAGCCCTTATCTTGAGCCCTTATATCGGGAGCCTATATGTCGGGAGTCTTTATTTCAGAAAAATATTTCGGGCAATCATCACATTCACGTGATTTATCTCCAGTATGAACTTTTCTATGTTTCCTTAAATAAGAACTAGATGAAAACTTTTTATGACAAACATCACATTCAAATGGTTTATCTTCTGAATGAACTTGTTTGTGTGCATATAAATTAGAACGCTGAGAAAACTTTTTTTGACAAACATCACATTCAAATGGTTTATCTCCTGAATGAACTCTTTTGTGTGCATATAAATTAGAACTCTGAGAAAACTTTTTATGACAAACATCACATTCAAATGGTTTATCTTCTGAATGAACTCTTTTGTGTCTATATAAACTAAAACTCTGAGAAAACTTTTTATGACAAACATCACATTCAAATGGTTTATCTTCTGAATGAACTTGTTTGTGTGTATATAAATAAGAACTCTGAGAAAACTTTTTATTACAAACATCACATTCAAATGGTTTACCTTCTGAATGAACTCTTTTGTGTGTATATAAATTAGAACTCCGAGAAAACTTTTTATGACAAACATCACATTCAAATGGTTTAACTCCTGAATGAACTTGTTTGTGTGTATATAAACTAGCCCTCTGAGAAAACCTTTTGTGACAAACATCACATTCATAATGTCTAACTAGTAAATGAATTTTTTTGTGGTTGCTTAGAGTAGAACTTTTAGAAAACTTTTTATGACAAACATCACATTCATAAGGCTTAACTACTAAATGAATTTTTTTGTGTTCCGCTAAACCAGAATTCCTTGAAAACCTTTTGTGACAAACATCACATTCATAATGTCTAACTAGTAAATGAATTTTTTTGTGGCTGCTTAGAGCAGAACTATTAGAAAACTTTTTATGACAATCATCACATTCATATGGCTTATCCCCTGAATGAACTTCTTTATGTTTAATTAACCTAGAACTATCTGAAAACATTTTATTGCAAGCATCACATTCAAGTGGCCTCTCCCCTGCTTCAGCTTGGTTATTCAAGTTAGAACTTGGAAAAAACTGTTCATGACGATCATCAGAGAGATATGTTTTGTTTTCAGAGAGTTTTAGCTTTTCTTCAAGTCCATTTTGTTGTTTGTCCTCAGAATCTAAAAATTTTGTCCATAAATCTGGATTTATATCTATGTTGGTTGATAAAGTTTCTAATTCTTGTTTTAGATCTTCACTAGTTGATGTATTTTCTAATTCTGGATTTGTATCTTCAGTAGTTGATAAAATTTCTAATTCTGTGTTGGTTGATAAAGTTTCTAATTCTGGTTTTATATCTTCAGATCTTGTACATACTGCTGATACAGCAGGTTCCATATCTTTAAAAATTAAAAATCCTGTTGTTTTATCTTGAGAAGTTAGAAATGTCTTATGGTGTTTTACATCATCAAAAGAGGAAAATGTTGTACATTCTGACTTTGTGTCTGTAGAAGATGAAAAATCTGGCGTAACAACGGTTTTATCATCCTGTGAAGCTATAAATGTCAAGCTAGGTTTGATATCACGGAAAGTTAAAAATGATAATTCTGTTTTTATGTCAGAAGAAGATGAAAATACTGTAGATAGAAGTGGCTTCACATCTTCAGAATTTGAAAATTCTTTAAACTCATCAGACTGTAAATCTAAATCACCAGTTGCCTCTCCCATGCTGCTTCTTATAAATGAACTGAGGATTAGATATTTAAATGTTAAAGTGGTGATTATACAGATCTAGTGACTATAGTCAAAATAAAGTTTTTTCAATAAAACTTCTCAGAAGCATATTAAAATATCTTAGAAATGAATTTAGATAGCTTAAAGTTAATACAATCAATAACAATTTTAAAAATAAAATAATTAATGTATTGTATATGCCTGAGGGTGGCGGATTATGGTAGCAAAAATAAAATCAAACTTAAATCTTTTTTTTGTTTTATACAATATTTGTACAAAATTAACATGCCATGCTTTTTAAATTGACAGAAAGTAAGTATACCATGTTACAAAAACTGCAATCATAACAATTCATATTTTCACTTTAAAAAATGAAAAAAAAAACAATCATCAATGAGGAAAGCGCAACGCTTTATGTTTTTAAAATATGGGGCCACATGACAAATAATAAATCTGGCCAAATGATTGGCTTTGGGCGCAGCACACATCTAAACGCGCCTTGTTTTTCACAAGATTATAATAAAATGGCATTGATGGGGAGGGGGGGGGTATATGACGGGCATAGTGACCACACCTAAGGACATGAGAATTATTCCCAAACCGTTGTTTAATCATACACGGTATAACATTAGAATCATAGTTTAGAAGTTTATTTGATTGTAAGTTCATTTTAAAACAAGAATATACAAAGCTACTTTCACTAAAGTGTCACTTGCGAGATAAATAAAGAAATTGGGTCAAAAGTACACCTTACTATTCTTAATTAACAGACTAAGGTAATCTATGGTTTTATGTGAATAAAATCTGCAGAGGCTAGTACTGTTAAAAAGCCAGTAGTGATCTCTCCTAAGCTTTCTCGAATATTCTTATATAACACTACAGCAGATTGGCAACTCAGGATATACTATATATAGACATGATTTTTAAATCCATGTTTAAGTACTTAAACTTTTAAAAATAGAATAGAATCTTGTAGAAAAAAAGAATTGCGCACCAAAGAAATGCGAAACAAAATGTGTATAATAGTGCGGAATATTATTAGTACTTTATATATTCACAAGCATTTTTGAGAAATTAGAAATAGCGTCCATTACTACTTCTGGTCAACGGAAAATACTCTAAATTTGAAAGAAGGTGGAAAATTAGATCTTTTACTTACATATGAAATTTCATTTGGCTATCTAAAACAGAACTCAAGTTATAGGCTTTTGAAAAATTTAAAGTAGAATTAGTTCCACTTCCGGTTAATCAGAAATCGCTGAAAAGTTGATACAGAACTAGAAATTTGATATAATGCTTACATATGAAATTTTATCAACCTAGCTGTAACTGTACTCAAGTTATCATGTTCACCGACACACATACACTGAAAGAATTGCAAAGCCCAGTTTTTCAGACTCGATTATGCATAAAACGTCAAAAATTTGATAAATGTGGGTTTATAATTTTTGCCCGATTAAAATAAGTCTTCTATACTCCAGATGAAGGACTGAGGTGAAAAACGGTGAAAACCGTCAAAATTTCATGTGATTTGTGTGCACTATCAGAATACTTTCTCTATACCCTGTATACTATAAAGTAAAAAAGGGTGACGTATCAAATTTTTGTAATTAGTTGGCATTTTTAGAAGGATTCACATTTTGAGAGCTACAAAAATGTTACAAACTTTTGATGTGCCTGTTTTAAAACATCAGTAGTAAAACTTTTCAGTAATAAATAAAGATTAACGATGTTTTCACTTGATGCAACCAAGCTCATTTACTAAAGCAGCCATCTTGTTAAAGTTTTTTGGTAACATTTAAGCTAGAGATTCAAGGGAAACTACCCTAATTTACAGTTGGCCGTTGTTTATATAGCAAATCTTGCTCGCAAACTAGGCTGTTTAAAGTTAATTTCTGGCTTATATTGATATATTTGGACATTGATTTTGGTTTATTATTCAATTATCTATTACTATTATATTTGACACAAAAATATTAGTATTACTCGCTACCTTGGAGGTGTGGATCGTTGCTTACATCAATATGATGTCCACACCAGATGCATGACTTTCAAAGATTTTTCATCTTAGCTCCAGTGAACTTCTTACAATTAGTTTTTAAAACGTTTACCAAGAGCAAAAATGTGGGTTTTTCATGTTATACAAACAAGCTATAGGTGGCAGGGCAAAATATGCCAGAAAAACATTTTAAAATTTGCTTTGGAGAAGGAAGGTATATTTAAAAGTTGGTACCATTAAAAATGATAGAACTTAAAAAACATTAGCCCGGGAAGTAGAAAAATTAATTGAAGATTAGGTGATATTAGGTTTATCAGTCTATTAAAAAATATATCCAATATATATATATATATATATATATATATATATATATATATATATATATATATATATATAATATATAATACAACATAATTAGTTTAAAATGTTAGTACAATTTCTAGACCTACCCCATGCATGTAAACCACAATACAAACAACTCTGTTTATAGTGGCAGTGGTCACTTTTTCTACTGTTGGTAATATAGAAATGTGTAGAAATATCTAAGAAATTTTTTTTAGTAGGCCTGAACTATAACAAGTGATAGGCCTACAACACAAATGTACACTGTCGTATGCCTGCTTTTACAACATACCCAGGTATATGGCTAATTTCCACATCAAAATCTAAAACCTTATGTTGCACCATTTCACCACCAATGTCCCCCACCTTGATATGCGCGATGACGTAAAAAAAAATATTGTGGAAATTCGTAAGTACACATCGCAGGATTACAGAAACGTTACTTTTTACTAAGAAATCACTTCAGAAGTGGGGTTGGTGTGGTCGAGTCGGTAAAGCTCATGGTTGCTAAACCGATAAGTCTCGAGTTTGAACACTCTGGCAGATGAGGCTCGTTAGCAGAGGGCAGCCACTCTTCTAGGAGAAACAACTCCAAAATCAAACAACTTCTGCCTTGTAGTTTGTTCTTGGGTGGACAAAAGCTATGGAAGCAAATCCAAAAAGAAAAGCAGGAAAAAATCAGAGTCAATGGCTTCAATGGCACATAACCAGGTGACACATATATTTCATTATGAAGAAGAAGATTTCAGAAGTAACTATGCTAATACTGATGTCAAAGATCTAGCGCCCCACCTCCCCCCAAAGCAAATAGCTGATTTTTTTTTACAAGCGGTGGGAGGAGAAAATAGGATGAGTGCAGTGACAGCAGCAATTTTCACAAGCACTGCATTTCAAGGTTAAAAATTTCAAGGACTTTTGACAACAGTTAAAAAACAACTATATAAATAGACCCAGATAGATCGTGAAAAAAAAATTATAGCAGGCCTACATATTTTGTTTGCAGACCCAAAACCAGACACATGTTTCTGAAAATTTTGCTTAACAGTAAAGTGACTTTCTTGGAATTAGGTTTTTAAAAAAACGATTATCACATGAAAAATGGCAGAAAATAAGCGTATTTTATGCAACCTGAAGATGACAAAGCTATTTTTGCCAGAAAAAAAAATTTGTTTAGCTTCCAACAATGAAGGTCAAACATAAACATGGGTAAAGTTTTAAGTTGCTTAAAAACTTAAAATATCGATCTGTAAAGTTCCAAACTTGCACTGTTAGGTAGGGTATTATTAGATTGATCTGTTTCTGAATTAAAATTGTAAATATTCTGTACTCATTTTGAGAAAAAAAATCACCCACATGTCACGTAAACAATATTTTTGTTGTGAGTGACGTCATTGCTATTGATATGTCAAGTAAACAATATTTTTTTTTGTGAGTGACGTCATTTCTATTGATATGTCACGTAAACAATATTTTTTTTGTGAGGGACGTCATTGCTATTGATATGTCAAGTAAACAATATTTTTTTTGTGAGTGTCGTCATTGCTATTGATACGTCATGTAAACAATATTTTTTTTGTGAGTGACGTCATTGCTATTGATACGGAAGCTGTATAGCAGTATCCTCTGTCACTGCTTACATAAGTTTTCTTTTTACTTGACACTTTTTTTTACCTATTATTATTTTGCTAGCATAATTAGGCTAATTAAGTCTCATTATGGATCTTTCACCTGGCTTTTGGATTATACTATGACTCTAAAAGCCCCTAAACCACAACGATCGATTATTTAGTATTTTAATCTGTGTTAATCCCTGAAATTATTGCGCGTTGGCCTTTGTGTGCTTATTTATGAATATTTATGCCTAATTATTTGTTGTTTTCAAATGTGTTATAATTAATTTTTGTTAATTCTTATTGATTTCATAGATTTTAATTAGTCTAAGATAATATTATTCTCACTGTTCTTTGTTCATATACTGAAAAATTAAATGATTTTAGTGTTGGGTCTAGGCTTACATTACTAATTAGTAATTAGTAATTAGAATTACTAATTAGAACTTGGGCTAACAAAGTTATGGACTTGATTTAGAACACGCTCATACTGTGCTTTGAATTTTCTCTCACCGGTTTACAAAAGAACACAGGTGGGCTGCAATGTTTGTAATTTGCCTATATCTTTCGGTCACAGGAGATCATTTTAATGTGATAGGCCTCTTAATTTTATAGGTCTGATGAACTGTATTTGATAGGTTAACTTTTCTGGTTGACAAAACTACTTGAGTGAGCATCTGTCTGTCACTACGCAAGCAAGATGCCTGTCATGCGCACTGCCAGTGATGCTGTTTAGAATGCATTTCTCGTTAACTTGATCAATTTTAATGCGATTACTGTTTTAAAAAAATAGATACAAATCTTAACAATATTTTAAACTCAGCATGGACAAAGCTTTGTGAATAACACACAGGTTTCAAGTCCAGTAAGGGAGGAGGGTTAGATTTATTTTACAATGACATAGCTATCATTTATAAATTGCCCTGATTAAACATTGCTAAAACACACTAATTAAGCCTAATCAAAACTGAAATAAACATGCATATGAATATCTTTTAAAAGTTTAGATCTAGATATATATTATATATTCTTAAACCTTTTAAACGTGATTATTTTTGGATTATTCATTAGCCTATATTAAAAAAAATAGTAAATATGTTACATGACATAACCAAGTTACGAGCATCCTTTCAATTATGTTTTATTGACACATACCGACACTCCACCCTCACTTGATCCTTACTAACATCCAAGGTCCCTCTCCTGTCAATTTTGTGGACCAGATCTAAGAATGATTGTCACTGAAAAAGCTGTCCCAGCTAAGCTAAAAAGCACCAATAATTAAAATCCTGTATTTTAGCCCCAAATTTACAAATTAGCTAAAACCATCAAATGTAGTTAGTAGTTAGAGATATATCTCTAGTTTTCATGGGTATTGTTTATAAATAAAATAATAATAAGGTAGGCCTACAATTTAATGAATAGGCGTAGCCTAATATTTAATATTAATGATGAGTCACCTTCCTTTCTTGCACATTACTATTACACTTTTATTACACTAGCCTCTGCTGATTTTACATACGGTAACGGTGACATACCTAAACCTAAAACTAGGCTAAAACGATAGATTAGCTGTAATCTATCGTTTTGGGTACCTAAAATCGCCAGCGACTTGTAATGTGAAAATCAGGTGACACCTTAAATTAAAAATTTTAATATAATAAGCTAGATATCTAGATTCTAATTATTTCACATGTTGATGTGGATTTATTTATGTTTTAAAAAATTCAAAAATGTTTCCTTGTTTCATTTATGTACCTGTTTTTAAACAATAATAATTGAATTAAAACTTTTCAGTAATAAATAAAGCGATGTTTCCAACAGATGCAACCATGCTCATTTACTATAGCAGCCATCTTGTTTAAGTTTTATTTTTATAAACTTACAGCGCTAGATTCAGGGGGAAGCCACTCTATTTTACAAATGGCTGCTGTTTAATATATAATATATACAAATCGTTAAGTATCTTGATCATATTGTGCTGTATTTGACTTGTAAGTTCTAACTCTATACATTACCTGTACAATATGTATACTAGCATTCTTATTACTAACACCAGAATCAATATGTAAAGTTTAATCTTTATTTTTATGGTAGCAACAAAGAAGTGCAACATATTAGCCTGTAGTTAATCATCATGTGCTGTACCATATTCAAGTTCACTATTTATTAGGCATTCCATTAAAAAAATTAAAATTGGCTAATTAAATGTATGAGCATTGCAAAAATATTGTGCTTGATGTAACTAGAATAACACTGAAAAAATTTTCTTTCTAGCTTCAGTAGTTTTTTTTTTATGAATTTTTTACGTAATGGGTGAATGTCCACTATATTTCTTTGTAAGTCATGAAAATCACTGTCCCCTAACTTTGAAATAGCACTGCTCAGTTATTTTTAAAGATACAATGTTAAAACTTTGCAGGATCTTACTTCAGCATGTTAGAATAACATATATTAATTGAAATCATTAAGTCATTCACTGGGAGCAGAATAATTAGCATTCCTTTAAGGGATACATTACGGCTATTATGGGCCCTAATTTCTAAGTTGCACTGCTCAGTTGTTTTTAAAACTACAACGTTTAAACTTTGCAGGATCTTACTTCAGCATGTTTGAATTACATATATTAATTGAAATCATTAAGTCATTCACTGGGTGGGAGCAGAATAATTAGCATTCCTTTAAGGGATACATTACGGCTATTATGGGCCCTAATTTCTAAGTTGCACTGCTCAGTTGTTTTTAAAACTACAATGTTTAAACTTTGCAGGATCTTACTTCAGCATGTTAGAATAACATATATTAATTGAAATCATTAAGTCATTCACTGGGAGCAGAATAATTAGCATTCCTTTAAGGGATACATTACGGCTATTATGGGCCCTAATTTCTAAGTTGCACTGCTCAGTTGTTTTTAAAACTACAATGTTTAAACTTTGCAGGATCTTACTTCAGCATGTTTGAATTACATATATTAATTGAAATCATTAATTCATTCACTGGGAGCAGAATAATTAGCATTCCTTTAAGGGATACATTTTGACTATTATGGGCCGTAATTTCTAAGTTGCACTGCTCAGTTGTTTTTAAAGGTACAATGTTAAAACTCTGCATGATCTTACTTCAGCATGTTTGAATTACATTTATTTATTTAATTATTAATAGACTTGCCAGTAGCAGAACAAATTGAATAAAAAGGTAGTAAGCACTAATTTTTTTTTAATAAATTAAACCGAACAATTTATCTTAGGCACACTGGCAAGCCAGGAGTTTTATTTACTGAATGGTTGTCTTTAAAAACTATTATTATTAGCAACACAACAAGTAGAATAACTTAAATAACATTTCAGGAAGCCTACACCAAATTAATAACATTGCAAGTAAAAAAAAACAACTCATCTCTGACTATTATCTTATCAGGATAAATGTTTTATATTAAATGATTCTCAATAAATAATTAAATTTACACAATTAAACAAAAAGCAAAGTTAATATATACATCAAAACAATAAACTTTTAAGGTAGACATAGCTCACATCAATACAATAACAGGTGAGACTTATACCAAGTTAAGCTTTGTACAACATGGACTACTACTGTCATCCTAGCTACTAAACACAAGGTCACCTGTCAGTAAATCAGTGACTAGAGATGTCATGTCATAGTCAACACTGTCAGTTTCCAATTCATCAGGTCCCCAGTAAGTAATTGTACATTTCATTGTCTTAGTCTTCTGTTGATTAAAATTTACCACTCTGCCAGAATACATTTTATCAACTCCTTCCTCTGTCCATAAATGCTTAAGTAGATGTCCTGTATAGGTTTCAGTCAGTTCAGACATAGAATTTTCTGAAGTAATATACATTGCAATGAGGCCCATAACTTCAGATGACGCAGATGAAAACACACTAGCATTCAGATCTTTAGCACTCAAAGCCATAGCAACCTCTTTTTCTAGAGCCTTACGGTTGGATTGTTCATGTTTCTGACCAGCTTCTAGCATTCGACGCATCATCACTGCTTCCATCATCTTCTTCCTTTGTGCTGCAAGTTCCCTTGCTCTGTACCCCTCTTTCATTGCAAAATAAACTAATCTATGTTGGGTCATTTTGTCCTGTTGCAGAAGCCATCCTACAGTATCATTTGTCCGTCCTCTCACCTTTCCGTCTACAAAACCAGCTGTCGCATTAGGGGCCCGACGCCATAAATAGTCAGTCATTCCTAATATTCTCTCAGCTGCCATGTTGTGTGAAGGAGCAGTTGAAGCTTGTGTCAACTGCTCAACTGTAGGGCTAGAAAGGTCGCCACTGGTATATCGAACAAACTGGCGGTCAAAGACCTTAACAATTTCATGTAATATTTGCTTCAAAGTTTGCTTTACTTTATCCCTGTGGGATTCAATATTGTTGATGATTGCTGTCAGCACCATGTCTGAAGCTGCATCAATGGGTTCATTAAAAACATTCACAGTGGGACATAACAACTCTTCTGGCTCAGCAGCAAACCTGTCCAAAACATTTTTAGAGCTTTGTATCACAGGGACACATAATCTGTTGATTTTATTATAAAGTTGATGACTGTTACTTGACGCTGGTATTATTTCTTCCAAAACTTGCACTGCCTTTTTAATTTGTTTTTTATTTTCATACCATACATGAATTATATGGCCTTGTATTATGCCAGCTGCTGTCCAAAAGTCAGAATACTGATTAATCAGAATTGGTAAATCTTTGGCAGAATGCTTATCAGGGCTCCCAGAGCCTGTAGATTTACCACCTGCTGAAGTATTCATTTCCTCATCCATACTCTTGATCATATATCTAGAGGAAAAGAAATCAACATTAATACTACTGTAAAAGTAGAATTTATTATTTTAATAGAGGCAAGTGTGTAGCATAATAAAGTAAGGGATAAGGAAATATATGCTTAAAATAATTTCTTTTCTTGAGTGGTAATTTATTATTGGTTATTAGCTTGATGTGCAAAAAAAAAACCCACTGGCTTTCTTCAACAGCCTTTAACATATTTATACATCTTTTATTTTTAAAAGGCAATCATTCATTTGCAATAAACTCTACGATTAAGGAACAAGTGAACATTTATAAAGGCGACGCCGGCCCCCACGCCCCTATAGGCTTTCCGGTCTCGCCATATTTTTTTATTATAAAATGGCGTTATTGTGGTGAATCAAACACCCTTTTTTCGGTCAAAATACCACTAGAAAACGTACCTCAAATTAGATGAAATCATTATTAACTTATAATATACATAATGTAATTTTTGAGAATACAAAGAGATAGCTTGATAAACTCACCTTTCTATCAAAAGTTGTCGTTGAAACACGCACAAAATTAGACCACGTTTCGCAATATTATAACTTGGAGAAGGAAGAGAGAAAAATAATGCAGTTAGCAGTTTAAAATCACATATGATGGCCCGACTACGAAATTGAATCGATTACTTTAAAATCCCTATATTTTCTCACTATGTATTTCAATAAGGAAGATAATCGACGAAATTTTACAATAACGAAATTCCCCGGTTGCCGTTCTTAAAGCAAGATGGCGGCGATGCCGACATCGCTACTATTTATAGTTTTCCTCTAGCTATGTTTATTTTACTTGCATGATTGTATTTTTTACATGCTCTAGTCCTAATATATAAAGTTTCATGATGGTATATGGAATAGCAACCTAGCTGTGCAGTCTGGAAATCCTCTTATGGCAGTCACTATAGAACAGTGCCACACCCCTTAATTTAACTTCATTATTTCTAGTTACCTCTTTTCTAATTTTTATTTTATTTGTAGACTTCTATTGCCTATATATCATTGAGTACAAATGTGCAAAGTTTTATCATTATATCTTTAATAGCAACATTGGTATGCAAGTTTAAAGCCAATCACACGTCTGGAATGCAGGTTACAATGAAACATAACAAGTTAAACACATAACTTTGAAAATTCATATAAAAAAACTATTAGGCCTAGAATGATAAATTTGATATTTTTATCAATGGGGTATATTATAGGATTAATCTGGGTCCATTTTATCATTCTATGATAATTAGGAAAAATTTCCCAATAGGCCTAATATAGGTAAAATCTTAGTTTAGCGTCGTAAATTCGGCCAAAACTAGTAATGTAGGAGAGAGTGAATTAATTAATATGTCATTAAATATGAGTATATTTTCGTATATTTTGATAAAATATTATAAATAATTGAATAATAGATCACCATTTATGGTTAAATCAATTTAAATATCTTGAAATTAATTTTTATCAACCCTGTTCAAGATAGTAAATTTGCTATTAAAAACAGCAGCCATCTTAAGAAAATGTTATTTAGAGTAGCTTCCCTTTCATTTCTATTCGTATGAAAATGTATTTAATTATGATTGTCTTGTTGTATAGTCCGTATTACAAAGCATTTTTTTTTTAAATTCTGCTCTTTAAAAACTGAATTTCCTAACAAACAACTTTATTAATTCTAGAAGCATTGTCACTTGTGAGATGCAAATTGTATCCATGTATTAAATCACGTTTTTTTTACTAATGTTTATTTGATCTTACTATTATTATATAGTTTGAGTTTTTTCTTATTGTTTGAACGTTCACTATTTTCATTTCAGGTTTTTCTTTTCATCAATTAGTGATTCTATCGTAACTTATGACATTTTTTTACTTCTCTTTACCTTAATTAAACCCCAACCTCCGTCATATTTTTGTTGTCAATGTCACAACAAGTCATAATGTAAAAAATTACGCTTCACTCTGCCTTATCTAAGATCTCTAACCATAATTTTGACAACATTAAATGTTTGTCATCATTTATATATACAGAGAGACAAAATGTATTATCCACCAGCTCACCCTCGTAAAACATCATCTAAAACAATGAGCCAATCCACCCCTTAAGTGCGTGTTGTCAATTATCGTCAATCGCAAGTCTCCACCTGCCACATACATTTTGGTTATACTTTGTTGTCAAATTGTCAATATCAAGTACCCAAGTGAGTGAGATGGGGTTGTCCATAAATGATGTCACATATGATTTGTTACGGGAGTGAGTGAAGATTTGTGACGTCAACTCAGGCGGCTCCGCAATTTATGACGTGTCGGTCTCATGAAAGGAGGTGAACGGGGAAAAATACCTAGGTGAAGGTGCTTGATGGAGAACCTCTATAATGCTTTGTTCAATCAAAATAACGATAAATAAGCATTAATATACGCATACCTTGCTTAAAACGAATCATTACAAATGTTGCAAGCCTGCTAAAGACATTTGGCAAAACGGCCTCAACAACACATTATCCCCGTCAAAAAGGCTTGCCACCAAATGCCTGCCGACGAATAAGCAGCGTCTAATGCGGGGCGTTAGGAATACGGCCATTATCATGGGGCCGCGTTAGAGCACCAGTGGGCTATCGCGCTTTGTAAGATGACGTAAATACTTAAATTCAATTTCGCTAAACTGCGCGAAAATATAGTAATGTTCCATCGTTTGAGGAAATTTATTTTCTTGGACTTAAATTGAAATATCATGTTGACTGTCTCACTGTCTGGCTCTTAATTTCCGAATATCACTTTTAATGTATCAAGATTCAGAACTATAATTTACTTTAATATAAGTGTCATCTTATCGTTTATTGTGCTTTTTATAAAGCGCAGAGCAGCTTCAAAATCGGACGGCCATCCTGTTTTCACCAAGCTTATTTTAGAGCTTAATATGGGTAGTCTAGTTCTATACGGTAAGAGCTTAATACATTTTTAAAGGGCAGAAAGTCTCAAGACAGCAAGCTTTCAGAAATAACACGTACGTTTAAATGGAAGAGTGATAGATGTGTTAGGGGCTGTTTAATGAACACCAACTTATGTAATCAAATTAAACGTCGCATAAGCTTCAAAAAGGCAGTGCTTGTTTTTTTCTATAAAATTAGCCTAACGGTCGGCGGTACCGGTACATGACGTCACGTGCGAGCGTTAACTCGGTGACGATGTGCTAAGTGGGGGAATGGAAAAGGTGGGGTTCAAGAAATGCGACTCAGCAAGCTTTTTACATTTCTTGACCCTTCTTAATAGTTCTATCGTCCCCACTGAGAAAATGGATCACCAATGAATGACGCGTCATACTTCTACAGCTGGTCTTTCTCCCACAACCATCCCCTGTTTTCACGAGAAAAAAAAAAACCTGACCCGTCTCCAAAATCACGTCGCTGAGTTCTACTCAACCTCTCCCCACCACAAATCACAATTTCTATCTGAAACAATATGTTCATATGTTTGCTCTGTAATAATGCACGCTGTCATTACTATCTTAAGAGCGACGTCATTTATGAGCGATCTAATATTGATTTTCTTATTGCAAATAAAGTGTTCAAAAGTTCGACCTCCCAACTATTGTTGTGGTCTTGGATGCACACTATTAAGTCTGATAAGGTCTATTAGTCATTCATGTCAACTATATTGAAAAAAAAAAGAAAAATTACTATACAGGGCGTCATCCATAAATGATGTCACGCTTTTTTTTGACGATTTTTACCCCCCCCCCCCCTCCGTCACACGTCGTCACAAAAAGCCAGACCCCCCCCCCTAAAATGACGTCACACCTCACCTACAACCCCCCCCCCCCCCTCAAAATTGCAGTTGAATTTTTTTAAAACAGCTATATTTTTCCAAAATCTTGTCTGAACTCTGTCAAAATAGAGTATTTTAATCAATTGTTATTACAATGTATTAAAACAGTTTTTTAAAACGCAAAATAACGTCTAAGATTCGTTTTGTAACATTGCTTTTTTAAAATGCAAAAGTGTGACGTCGCACCATCTGAACCCCTCCCCCTCATCACACAACGTCACAAAATTACGGACCCCCCTCCCCCTACGAGTGTGACGTCATTTATGGACGACCCCCGGCATATATTAAAACAATACAAAACAATCATATTAAACCACAAAATCAACACAAAAGACATGCGAATAGACAATTTATTATTTTTAAAACATGGCCGCTGCTTGTATTTACTCATTGTTGTCTCGAACGGGGTAGTTTAAAGTTTATTCCAGGATATTTATGACTGGTTTGGTCTTGGATTGTGATTTGTTATTCAATTATCTGTTATGTTATGTAAAATATGACATAAATATGGCCAAATGAAAGAAATATTCATTAGTTACCTTCATCGCACATTACTAGCTACGTTGGAATTTACGACGCTAAACTAAGATTTTACCCTAATAATAATATATAATTATAAATTATATACTCAATGTTTCAATGTAGGGAAGGCCCAATTATTTTTTATTGCTTAGGCCTATGTTGCCTATGATAGGCTATATTTATATAAAGAATTGTGACTACGTTCTTTTTTAGTGTCTTAACTTATACTGATAGTATACTGTAAATGTATATTTACCTGGAAAGGAATCTTTAAAGATACCAGTTAAAATATTTTCATCTTCCACGTCTATAACATCTGCCATTTTTGTTTGGGTAAATCTAAACTACGGAATTTTACATTGTCTCCGCATAGTTTAGCTATGGTCTAAATACCGTACAAAATTTATTAGAGCTTGTAGGAAAAAAAACCTTACAAAAACCTTTTAGATAGAAAAAAAAAGGATTTTGAAACAACGAAAGGCTGAAAGTTATGCCACGAACAATACAATATACAATAAAATACATGCATCGGGTAGAAGGATAGTTAATTCTTAAGTTGGTCTAACTCATCTAATAAAACACAAACGATTGTAAAGTTGGTAAAAAATATTTACATTTGACAGAAACAGACAGGTAATGGACAGTAAAACCATAGAAATATAAGAAAAACACATTTTTCGACTTCAGCTACTGATTGTTTTATTAAACATACGTTTATTTTAGCTAGACCATTGACTAAGACATCGGGGATGAATTTCGCCCTTAAAAATAACATTTTGATGTTTTAAAAATTAAAGCGTTCAAATATCTAAATATCTCAAATCTAAAAAAGCCCATCTTGTATCTATATCTTTAATGTTGATAGTCATGGATTTCAGGAAGAACAAGTTTTGTTTCGTTTTTTCCTGGTATATAGTTCCACCTTGAAGAAAAAAAGAACACACTTCATTGAAGTCATATAACTTTTAAAAGTTTTTCTTTTCTTTAGAACCACTAAGATGTACATACAATGTCCATTTCCACATAAATGTCAAAGCAAATTTTCCAAAACTCCCCCAATGTCCATGCGATGTCCACCTCTCATCCCTCAATGGTTCGAATAACGAATAATGTCCATCCACCTCCCCAAAATGTTAACGAAATGTCCACCCACCTCACCAGAATGTCCAACGAAATGACCACCCACCTCCCCAAAATGTCCACCAAATGTCCATATCAACATAACTGTCAGGCTAGCCGGTTAACTTAGCGTCACGGTGTCCTATGAAATCAACACACCTGTCAGAATAGCCGGTTAACTTAGCGTCACGGCGTCCTGTGAAATCAACACACCTGTCAGAATAGCCGGTTAACTTAGCGTCACGGTGTCCTGTGAAATCAACATAACTGTCAGGCTAGCCGGTTAACTTAGCGTCACGGTGTCCTGTATATTTTCAGTTATTCGTTGAAGTTGAAGGTTAATTAACTTCATTAGTTTGATTATAATTTAATCGTCGGTTTTTTAACTTGTTTTACTTAAAGTCTGGGAAGAAACTCCAACATTGGCCCAATTCAGTTGCCACATAATTTGGCCAGAAAATAATTGTTTTATCTGTAGAAAACAAGCATATGTCAATTTGGTGGCTTTAGCATTTGGTTAGAATATTTAAACTAAATATTATGTTTCAATGCATCCTATTGTGAGTTTGTGTGGGACGATGTTGTCGAATGATAGAGCGTTGGAGGCCAGCCCCAAAGTCTCGAGTTCGGTCTTGGTTTTGATTAATCCACCCAGCTCTGATGGGTACCTGACAATACATTGGGGAGAGTAAAGACGATTGGGCATAGTGCAGCTTAGTGCTGACCACGCCATCACTTCATATGCCGAGGTCAAGAAACATATGAACCCTAGTTCATCTACACAATGGATCGCTACGTCTAAAGAAAGTATTTTTTACTTTCTTTATTGCTAGTTGGTGGCAAATCCCAATATTGATTCACCTTGCTATGGCTTACATTATTAGGACATTGATTCCTTTGTAGAATCTTCCAACTGTGTTTTATTCGTTTCAAGCATTAATTTTCATACTTCGTTTTAGATTCGAACCCGTTACCGTTAAAGCGGCGTAGGTGAAGTAGATTATAACAGAAGTGGTAGGTGAATGATAAATCTAGTTTAAAACAAGTGTTTTTCTAAACTTGACAGGGGCCGCTGCCGGTTAGATGGTTGGCACCAGAAAGTTTGATCGACAGAACACACAGCACCAAATCTGATGTCTGGGCCTACGGCATTCTTCTGTGGGAGATTGTTACGCTAGGTGAGTTCATAGGTTTACATTAGTAGGGGGGGGGGCGGGGTTGGGGGTGTATGTAGTGAAGGGGGTGAATGTTGTTGTTACTTGGTACCCTATCCCGTTCGTCCTTGTTCAGTTCTCGTGCTGTGAGTTGTAATATTCCGGTTTGTACCAGTTTATGAAAGGGTATATAAGGTGTATGAAAACGTGTGTGATGGCCTTAGTTTTGTCCAGATCTCCAAGGTTAGTACAGGTTAGGTTTATACTAGTTTTTAGCCACTGTATCTTAGTTTACTAGGTTGTGTATTTTCTGTTTAAACTAGACTGTGTTAGGTGTAGATAGTGTATATAAATTCTTTTAGTTTCAACGAGCCTTTTGTTTCAGTAACCGTTTGTGGTTGTTTGTCTTATGTGTTGCGCTACGCATCGGATCTCCCGAATGGCATGTCCGTGTGTTCACAACAGTGTACTTTACGGTGTTGGAGGTGGGGGGACTATCTTTGGGTGAGTCTATTGTTTTACTTTAGTTTGGTAGGAGGGGGCTACTGTATGGGTTTGGAGGGGGGGTGTAGATTGTGTAACGAACACCAATCTATCAGCCAGATAGTTGGCGAACGCTCCCGGGTTCGTTTAAATGATTATACACAGATGGCGACAAGCCTAAATAAAAGAAAGCTAACACAGCAGTTCACTAGGACTCGTACTTGATGTCTAGGGGAAACACTAGAGAAACTACTGATGCCAACAATACATTTAATCTGCATATAACTTTTAATGAGTGTACAAAGTCGTGGCAGAACACTAGATTTATACAGGATAAAATAGATTTGCAGAATGAACAAAACCCAACTTACAATTTGTGGGAAATAATATTATGATACACTATCACAGCTTTTAACACTTCAGAAAAATCACCACAGTTTACACATCGCTGCTATAAGCATAAATAATTACTTAACCACAAGTAATATAAGAATATGCTGCTTAAACAACTTAGTACTACACGGCGACACACAGGGCTTATTTTCTCTCAAAGATGTCTGGTCAAGTGTCTAGACCACTTAAGTCACTCGACCACACAGGCCACCACCGAGGGTCATGGGATCTAACCGGGAACACCCGGCCGCCGCCTTGAGCGAGCGTGATCCGGGCCACTGCGTAACAGGGCCACCCTAATCACTGAATCACAGTGATTCGAACCGAGGAATTGAACCTCGGCCGCCGCCATGGCGCGCCGAGATCCTAACCACTGTACCACATCCTGGTCCGTATCAACCAATCATCTCATAATGGAAAAATACTGCGTCTAAGACTTTCTTAAGACAGTGGAAAAAACCAGTGATTATACCACAGACCATATATGGTAAAGTAACAAATGTAAAAATAAAATTTACCAGACCTAAGTAGGTCACATCCCCTCCCTTTTGAAGAGGCAGATAGGTTCCACAAAAAAACATACATAAGGAACCAATCTGGCATAAAAAAATGTTCTACAAATGTAGTGAACCAAAATCTTAATACCAGGTGAAAACATCCCTGGAAATAAAAGGGAAGTAACTCAAGCTTTTACAATTCATGAAAGGGGAGTAACCCTTTCAAAAAATAATAATACATCAAAGTCCCTCAAAAAGGGGTATTACAATATTTCCATGTGGATACTATAAGTGGTAAACCCGACAGGGTAATTCCTTTATTTCAATGACTAGCTACAATATCAACTGAGTCATGTGAGACATTTTATCATAAAAGATTACATATAATGAAAAACCACCTTTAAATAAGGTTCACCTGAAAATAAACAAAATATTCAACAGGATTATAAGTTAACCACTCACATTCATGTGAGTATCACCCAAACAAACCACTTGTATATGGTCTTAACTAACCATAAAACATGTCACATGATAAATGTGGGTAATAAAATTTTACATTCTTGACAAACAGTCAGCCACAACATTATCAGTTCCCTTAATATGGGAAATTTCCAGATTAAAGTTTTGGAAATATAAACACCATCTTAATATTCTGTGATTCTTTTGTCCTAAACACCATCTTAATATTCTGTGATTCTTTTGTCCTAACTTGGAGGTAAATTTAAGAGGATCATGGTCAGAAAATACCATGACTGGATTGATTGAAGAGGTGACATAAACTTCAAAATGTTGCAAGGACAAAACCAAAGCTAAAGCTTATTTTTAAATGGTGGAGTAATTTTTTTGATTCTCATTTAACTTTCTGGAAAAAAAGCGATTGGATGGTCAATCCCCAGGTTGTCTTCCTGAAATAAGACTGAGCCAATGGCTAAGTTGCTAGCATCAATAGCAAGTTTAAAAGGCTTACCAAAATCTGGTGCAGCCATTACAGGAGCATTAGATAAAAATGACTTAATGTTTAAAAAAGCTTCATGACATTTAGTTGACCATTCAAAGTCAACACCCTTTTTTAGTAAAGCAGTCAGGGGTTCCGCGACAGCTGAAAATTTTTTACAAAACCGCCTGTAGTAACCTGCCATCCCAAGGAACTTTTTGATTTCTTTACAATTCTTGGGAGGAGGCAACTTCACAATAGCATCTACTTTAGCTTCAATGGGCCTAACTTGGTTAGTTCCCACTTGATAACCCAAATAGGTAATTGAACCTTTACAAAAATCACATTTATGCAGGTTTACAGTAAAATTAACTTCAGACAATTTTCTGAAAAGGTCAGTCAACTGAACAATATGCTCTTCAAAAGTATCAGAAAATACTACTATATCATCTATGTAGGCCTCACATTGGTCAATGTCAGCAATGACAGAGTTAATGACACGCTGGAAAGTTTGTCCAGCATTTCGCATAAATAAGGCATACGTTTATATCTATAAAAACCATTAGGGGTTACAAAAGCAGATATTTCTTTTGCCCGGTCAGATAAGGGGATTTGCCAGTACCCTGACAACAAATCAATTTTGGAAATTATCTTTGCTTGACCAACTTTATCAATAACATCCTCTATTTGAGGTAAGGGGTAAGAATCAGCTTTGGTGAGTCACAAACCTGAAAGATCCACCGTCTTTCGGGACTAAAAGGCAGGGGGAACTCCAATTGCTGAAACTGGGTTCAATGATATCATTCTTGATCATGTAATCAATTTCATCTTTTATCAAAACAGCTTTTTCTGGGTTAACTCTATAGGGGTGTTGTTTGACAGCCTTTGCAACAACTACATCAACATCATGAGGTGGTACCTTTGCTTCTTTGGGGACATCCCCAAAAATAGAGGGAAACGTCTCAAATAACTGAGACAATTTATGGCTTTCCTCAGTGGACAAATGCATAAGGTGGTCATTTAAATGATCTAAAAAGGAAGAATTTACCAATTTTGGGGGTTTCAGTTTTTCATGTATCACATCATCAGAAACATTTATACATACAGGTAAAGAAATTTTAGCTGTGGAATGAAGATTGGTACAATTATCATAATACTTTTTCAGTGAATTGACATGATACACCTGCTGTTTCTTTCTCCGGTCCGGAGTATTGATCACATAGTTCAAATCATTCAACCTTGAATGAACTGTGAAGGGTCCACAGTACCTTAAGGATAACGCATTGTTCAGGTTAGGCACGAGCACAAGGACCTTCTCGCCTGGATTGAATGTTCGTTTTCGAGAACTCTTATCATACAGTCTTTTCATCCTCACTTGTGTGAGCGGCTGGAGTGTATTTTTATTATTTGTAACTTAGAAGGCGAATGTATCGTTTCGTTTCATGTCGTAAATTGTTCGTAGTTTTTAGTTGTGTAGTCCCGTATTATGGCGCCGCTGTCTCACTGTTTATGTCCCTGTTTATAACTAGTTTGCATATATTTCGTTTATATTGTTGTCATTGTTTATATTAAGTGTCTTTTTATATAATTCTGTTGCATGTTTCGTGGCGTTTGGTTTGTTATCCGTGAATTAGGGACTATTTATTACGTGTAGTGTGTGAGGTGTGTGGAAGTCGATTTCCGGCGTGTTTGAGTCTGTCTTTTGGTATGTGGAAAGCAGCGATGAAGAGAGCAGGAAGACTCTCTGGTCATCGATTGTAAAGAACAGCAAATTCACACCATCCAGCCGTATTTATTTTGTGTTTGTGTTCGTCATAGACCTGGTAAGTTAGAAATAAGTTTATTTTTTGCTATGTTTATTTTTTTGCTATGCTGTTAATTTTGGTTCCTGGCCATACGTTTTTTTGTGGCTGTTTTCTGACCGCCATTGTGGTCAGGCCATGTGGACTCAGATTCTGAGTTTCTATTATGTTATCGTCATTTTATTCATTTGTTGTATCTCTTGGGCTTGTGTTAAGCCAAGGATACTGCTTATTTATACTTGGCCCACAGTTATGGTTTACTCCTGGCTGTTGGGTTAAGTGGTACACATATTTTATTGATTGTATCCCTTGGGCTGGTGTTAAGCCAGGGGTAAAGGTAATTTTAGACTTGACCCGCAGCTATGGGTTACTCCTGGCTGTTGGGTTAAGTAATACACACATTTTATTGATTGTATCCCTTGGGCTGGTGTTAAGCCAGGGATAAAGGTATTTTTAGTCTTGACCCGCAGCTATAGTTTACTCATGGCTGTTGGGTTAAGTAGTGGAGTTATTGTTACTTGACCCACAGTCACGGTTCGTTCCGGACTGTCGGGTTTGGTTATGTACTTGTAGCTGTAGGCTGGTTATGATATTTTTATCTTTATAGTGACCTTTCGCTTCCTGTGGTGGTCGTGTTGATCCCCAGGAGAGTGTTCGGTTCATTCTAGTCACTGTGGAGGTACACATGTTATTAATAACTTTTATTTTACATAAGCCTTTTGTTAGGCTGATATACGAAGTGACTACATACTATTTAGTCACTTCGACTTTGAGAAATCTCAATGGTTGATGTATCTAGACCACGTGGTAGTATGGTGGTCTGGGTTTAGATTTTAGTCATGGATCTAGAATCTATCTCTAGATTTTACTTACATATTTTATGAGAACCTCTTGTGGAGGCTGATTATTGTGTGCATTGAACTAGTAGTTTTATGCTCAGTGACTTGATATTTACATTTAAGTGTGTTCTTTGTACTACTTTCATTTGAAAATTCATTTTGTACAATATCCATTTTATTTTCAAGTGTGTCAACTTCTTAGTGCCTTGTGTATAACTGTTTTTACATTTTGAAATGATTCGTCTATTTTTCCTTTTTCTAGGACGGTGGTCCGAAATTGGGTGTTTTGTTTGATGTAAAAAGTTTGTTTTGTTTGGTTTTGGTTTGTCTGTTTTGTGTCAGTTTTTATCTCTTCTTTTTCTGTGATTTTTCCATTGGTTCCTTCTTTTTGATAAATAAATTTTGTTAACTGTTAAAGTTTTTGTTTTATTTTAGTAGTTTATTTAGACTAAGGATAAGATATAACCACTGTGGGTTTCACCACGGTTGCACTGACCCGGACAGTTAGATAGATTTTAAGGTATCCCCCCCTAGCAGGGCTTACACTTGGGCCTTTCTTAAGTTCTTGTGAGCCAAATCGCACACGGCTTTCAATCGAACGTGAAAATCTTCAAAGTCCTCCACTGGATGGTTACTGGTACCTGTCCAACGCTCGTGGATCAGCTTCAGGGGACCACGGACAGAATGTCCGAACACAAGCTGAAAAGGAGAGTAACCTAGAGATTCCTGAACACAGTCTCTAGCGGCGAAAATAATCCATGGAACAGTTTCATCCCATTGGGTGTTACTTTTAACGAACGTTCTCAGCATGGTTTTTAGGGTCTGGTGGAACCTCTCAAGTACACATTGAGACTGAGGGTGGTAGGCTGAGCTGGTGACGTGTGTAACGCCTAGCTTGGCTAACGCTTCCTGGAAATGGTGGCTGGTAAAGTTGCTGCCTTGGTTGGTTTGCACAATTCTAGGTAATCCGAAGGTAGTGAAGAACCGGGTCATGGCTCTGACTACAGTTTTTGCCTTAATGTTCCGTAAGGGGAACGCCTCGGGAAAACGGGTACTTGAACACATAAAGGTAAGTAGGTACTCGTTGCCCGCCTTGGTTTTCGGCAAGGTCCATGATGATTTTGGAGAAGGGTTCTTCTACCACAGGAATTGGATTCAAAGGGGCCTTAGGAATTTTCTGGTTGGGCTTCCCGGCCAACTGACAGTTCGTACAACTTTTGCAGTAACGCGCCACATCATTTCTCATTTTTGGCCGAAAAAACAGTTCTTTGATCTTCGCCATTGTTTTCGTGACTCCTGTGTGCGCTGACATCGGATGGTCATGTGCCAGTTTCAGTATTTCATGCCGATAAGGTGGAGGGACCCACAGCTGGTTTTTACCCAACCATGGTTCGGCAGGTGAGGCATTCACTGGTACAGAGCGACGAAAGAAGAGGTCGTTCTCGGAGAAATACTCCCCGTCGTCAGCTGAGAGTGATTTTTCGACCATCGCTTTGAGTTCCGCGTCGACTTGTTGAGCTTTAATGATGTCTTCCTGAGATATCTTCAGAGTCAATCCCAGGCTTGGGTTCTCTGGAAGCATAGACTCCAGTTTGGGAGTTGGATTTCCTGACGATGATGGTAGGTGTGGTTCAGGCGCTGTGTCAGCCAATTGTTTGGTCTGGCTTCTTGACACCACACATGCAGGATACAATTCATGATCATCATCTGGAATTGTTGACAAAGGGTTTTGAACCGTATAAGGGTATACTTGGCTTCCCGCAAGGTCAGGTGTACTCCTGGGACAGGAATACTATCGATCACTCCTAAAATGACCTCACCTTCGACGAGATGATGTTTCGGGGAAAACTTGTGTAGAGGGACCACAGTGGATTCTGCCCCCACTCCCTGAATAATGGAAACATTCCCGGTGTTCGTCTCCGGTGTAATGTCCATTGAGCTCTTCAAAAGAAGTGACTGTGAAGCCCCTGTGTCTCTTAAGACGGTGATATTCCGCTGAGACAACGGATCACCTGGTTTGCTAATGACAGCCTCTGCAAGGAACGATGAAAAGTCAACCTTTCTCGATCCCTCGAGATCGGTAGACTCGGAAGAAACTGGATGGTGGCGTGAACAGTCAAAATGTGACTGAACGTAATGGGTGGAGACTTGATTTCCTTCCTGTGGACACTTAGGGTTAGTGTCATTCCGAAGACTAGAGTTCAGATTTGAACTGGCTGCTTGATGGATGAGAGCATTGTGCGCTGAGGTACGCACAACCTCTCTGTTGACTTGAGTGACCAGGTCTCTTGCAGTATTTTCTCTCAAAGATGTCTGGTCATAGAACTGACCTGATTGTGTGAGACGTGTGCGATAAGTCTCTATGGAGACTCACAGATCACTCAAGTGTCTATCCCTAGACCACTTAAGTCACTCGACCACACAGGCCACCACCGAGGGTCATGGGATCTAACCGGGAACACCCGGCCGCCGCCTTGAGCCAGGCCACTGCGTAACAGGGCCACCCTAATCACTGAATCACAGTGATTCGAACCGAGGAATTGAACCTCGGCCGCCGCCATGGCGCGCCAAGATCCTAACCACTGTACCACATCCTGGTCCGTATCAACCAATCATCTCATAATGAAAAAATACTGCGTCTAAGACTTTCTTAAGACAGTGGAAAAAACCAGTGATTATACCACAGACCATATATGGTAAAGTAACAAATGTAAAAATAAAATTTACCAGACCTAAGTAGGTCACAATTGTAAATCTCGGCAAATTCATTAAGCAGGCGCATGTAACCTTCTCATTGAATGTCTTGCAACCAACAGTCTGATTGCAAACTATACACTTTTGTGTTGATAGATGGGGTCGGAGCGAACTTTCTAGATAGCAAACAAATACAACAAAATAGCATTAGCTTCCTACAACATTGTGTCATGAAGAAGGGCTTCACAAAATATGTACATTAATACTATTATATTAATACACGGGATACAGTGATGGGTCTGAATAGATCAGCCTTCAAGATAAAATAAACAGTACCTGTGATGTAAAAGATACTGGGTGAACCTGGCAATAGGGCTAGTAAGTAGGTCACCAACCAGTTATATGGCTCATGCAAGTTTTATTGAGCCTTAGAACTGGTTGGTGACCTACTTACCAGACCTATTTTGTTCCAAATGTCCAGCCTAGATTTCATTTTCTCGTACCACACCCACCCCACCCTAAGTTGAACAAATATCGATCTAAAGAGTTTGATTGATTGATTTCAGGTGCCAGTCCTTACCCCGGGTTGTCTGCCCAGGATGTCTTCAAGTTTGTTAGCGCTGGCAAGAAAATGGAGAAACCTCAGCACTGCAGTTCTGACATGTAGATAACTTTAATCCTAACCACACAATCACCCACACACACATCCACTTTGACAACTAAAAACCCACTCAGCTAGAGAAATTTTGACAATTCCACATCAATTACGACAGCAACAAAAAAGTTCCACACAATCACACAAAAAAAATCCCACACAACCCTCACTCCCCCCCCCCCCCCCCCCCCACATAACTCACCTCAATGTATAATCCCACCCACTCATAACCCCACACAACTCAACTCCAACAATCCTACACAAAATCCCACCCCCATACAAACCCGCACAACTCAAATCCCACACAAAATCCCACCCCACATAATTCCATACACAAACCCACCCCCCACAATCCCACACAACTCACCCCATACATAATCCCACCCATTCACAACCCCACACAACTCAACTCCCACAATCCCACACAAAATCCCAATCCCACACAAACTCCCCCCCCACTATCCCACACAAACTCCCACCCCCACACAACTCAACTCCCACAATAAATCCCACCCCACTCAAACTCCCACCCCCACACAATTCTTCAACTCAACTCTAACAATCCCACACAAAATCCCACCCTGACACAATCCCACAACTCACCTCCCACAATCCCACACACAACGCCACCCCAACTCCCCCACAACCAACCAACTAACCCTAACCCTCCCTGTCCCCAGATACGAGCTCATGTGCAGCTGCTGGTCCTTCCTCCCAGAGAACCGTCCAACGTTTGATGCCCTGTGTTGCAGGTTCGAGACTCTGCTGGAAAAGGAAAAAGATTACATCAACCTGGAGCTATTCCAGAGCGAACAGTACGCTTGTCTGGATGCTGACATAATGGATGAGAAGTTATAGGACATAAAGCTGGTTGGATGAGAAGTTATAGGACATAAAGCTGGTTGGATGAGAAGATATAGGACATAAAGCTGGTTGGTTTAGAAGATATAGGACATAAAGCTGGTTGATTGAGAAGTTATAGGACATAAAGCTGGTTGATCGAGAAGTTACAGGACATTAAGCTGGTTGGATGAGAAGATATAGGATATAAAGCTGGTTGATTGAGAAGTTATAGGATATAAAGCTGGTTGGATGAAAAGATATCGGACATAAAGCTGGTTGATTGAGAAGTTATAGGATATAAAGCTGTTTGGATGAGAAGTTATATGACATAAAGCTGGTTGGATTAAAAGATATCGGACATAAAGCTGGTTGATTGAGAAGTTATAGGACATAAAGCTGGTTGATTGAGAAGTTATAGGATATAAAGCTGGGTGATTGAGAAGTTATAGGACATAAAGCTGGTTGATTGAGAAGTATAGGATATAAAGCTGGTTGATTGAGAAGTTATAGGACATAAAGCTGGTTGGATGAGAAGAAATAGGATATAAAGTTGGCTGGATGAGAAGAAATAAGATATAAAGCTGGTTGCTTGAGAAGAAATAGGATATAAAGTTGGCTGGATGAGAAGAAATAGGATATAAATTTGGTTGGATGAGAAAAAATAGGACATAAAGCTGGTTGATTGAGAAGAAATAGGATATAAAGCTGGCTGGGTGATAAGAAATAAGATATAAAGCTGGTTGTTTGAGACGAAATAGAATATAAAGTTGGCTGGATGAGAAGAAATAGGATATAAATTTGGTTGGATGAGAAAAAATAGGACATAAACCTGGTTGATTGAGAAGATATGGGATATAAAGCTGGGTGGGTGCAGACATAATAGATGAAAAGTTATAGTAGAATGATTGGGTTATATTAACTGACAGTTGAAGTCACCTAAGGGATCCCGGATGTTACATAAAATTACTTGGATTTTGCAGAGAAAGTCGATTTAAAAACTAATCAAATCATTCTTCGCTGTGATCTCGTACAACATGTTTTTGTTAACACAAGTATTAGAAATGCTGACATAGGTCTATGGCTCATGCAGGTTTTATTGAGCTGTAGAACTGGTTGGTGACCTACTTACCAGCCCTATAGTATAGTAGCGATCGTCCAGACGTGTACATGTTTCATAACATACCTACAAGACATTTGAAACCTACCCCATACTCCACAGGACGTTACAGAACAAATATGTTCATACCCCCCCCTCCTTGCCTCAGTGCTTTGCAATTTATGTGACCATATAAATGAATTACAAGAATCACATTATTTTTTAGAAAATCGTCGTTTTTCATCCTAATTATCCAATGATTGTAGATTCATGGGCCTATAGCAGAATTTTTTTTTTTTTTTTTTTTTACAAATAAAAATAACTAAATTTAATGACAGTGTTAAACAACAGCAGTATTTTAACCATATTCCATATGACACAATATAACATGATGATAAATATAACCCCCTCCCACTTTCTCCTTTCATCAAATGTGCACGATCTGAACGCAGAATAAAATATTTTATTAAAATAAGACTGTTTTGTAATTATATTCATTATACAACTGTCTGTTGATTTAAGCAAAAGAAACAATAACGTACATTAATAATTGTAATGCATTCAATGATAAAAATAGATAATAATAAATGCAATCATTTGTAGTTTAGATATTAACGTCAATAAAACATTAAAATTTAATAACTATGAATATAAACATACCTAACTGTATATACAAACATTGTATTCAATAAAAAAACATTGCAACCATCCATTGTTTGCAGTTGTGTTGTCATGTTATAGTGATGCCTTGAATTCTATAGAACTGTTTTCATCGTTACTATGGACTTATAGTAACTACTTTTACAAATGCTGCCGAGTGTATGGCTTGTAAGACATGTTCTCTCTCACTGTTATTCGATATTTCGCTAGCCAGGGAGAGGTGTGAATTTTCGAACTGAATTTTCTCTTGTGAACATAGTTACCTTTATTAACAAACAAAAAATAATGCGGTTATTTGTTTCTAGGTCTCGCCTCAAGATTTTAAAATACCAAGAGTGCATGCAAGAAAAAAGAATTGCGCAGCAAGTGAACGGAAAAAAATATTTAAATAATAGTGCGGAAAACTAGTACTTCATTAATTCATATGCGTTTTTTTAGAAATCGGAAATAGCGTAAAGTTCTACTTCCGGTCAACGAAAATTACTCAAAATTTGAAAGAAAGCAGAGAATTAGATCTTTTACGTTTAAGTGAAATTTCGTTTCTCTATGTGAAACAGTACTCAAGTTATGTTTGCGTTTTTGTTTGTGGTTAGGGTTAGTTAAAAAGGTAATATATATATATTAAATCCGGGCTATGTAGGGTGTATGCTGAACACAACACACAAGTCATGGGGGGGGGGGGGGGGGGGGGGCGGCGGTAGATGCATGGAAAAAATTCTGGTGCCTGGCCGGCTAGTTTATAATTATTTATATATATATATATATATATATATATATATATATATATATATATATATATATATATATATATATATATATATATATATATATATATATATATATATATATACATACATATATATATATATATATATATATATATATATATATATATATATATATGTTAGGGGGATTTAGTTGTTCGAGAAAGAGGGGTCATCTGCGATCGCACTTCTGACACCAAAATGTAAGGTGAGGGTTGTTTTTGTTAACCGATTAAAAGAAAGACAAGGTAAGATGGTATTGACCATTATTCTCTCTAATCCGTGCACCTTTGCGTGGTGACAAAGGAGTCTAATAGACCTGAGCAAAACTAATTAACATCTAAACAAATACAACATTAATTTTACACTAAAAATAAAACTTGGTAAACACCCAGTTAATACATTTATTTAACTTCATCCTACTTCACAAAAAATGTATTTTACAAGCAAAAAACAAAAGGATACAAATAAGACCTGGCCAGTTTTCATAATCAAGGAAACATTCCTCAAATTCTTAATACATGTAAAAAAAATCGCTTACATTTTTAGATACAACCACAATTTTATCCTTTCATGAATGTATACGAGTTCCTTACACGACCCAGTTCGTCACACACAAAAGGCAGGGTGATTCCCCAGCAACAAGGACAACATATCCGTCCTC